ACAGGATGTGATATCATGTATATAAGCCAACAAAAGGAATATATCAGCTAATAAATGAAGCATATCAGCCAATAAAAGGAACATATCAGCCAACAAAAGATAGATATCAACTAACATATTGAACATATCAGTCAATAAAAGGATGAAATCAACAAATAAAAGCAACAGGTAAGCCAACATATTGTACATATCCTTTATCAAATAATATGTATCCTCCAACAAACTTTATGTATCCTCTATTAAGTAGCACATATCCTCCAACAAATTGTACATATCCTATATTAAATATTACATATCATCCATCAAATACTACATATCCTTTAATAAATTGTACGTATACTCTATCAACTAACACATATCCTCCACCAAATACTACATCATATCCTCTAACAAATTGTACGTATCTTCTATCAAAGATAAATTGTATATATTCTCTATCAAATGCTACATATCCTATAACAAACAATATATATCCTACAACAAACTGTACGTATCCTCTATCAAATAACACATATCTTCCAACAAGTTATACATATCCTCTATCAAATAATACATATCCTATATCAAATACTGCATATCATATATACTTAACGCGCGAATTGTTTGATGCGCCAAAGCCGCACCCAATACCTTCTCTTAGTTTATTATACCTCAGGCATTAGTTAATCTCTCTACTCTTCTATAATTTTTCTTATTTTTGCTTTATTTTTTGTCTCGTAATAAGATCATAAAACAACGGATAATGAACGAACGAAAATAACAAAGAATAAAAAATAACAATGTGAAACCTTCATCTTACTAAAAAATTTAAAATTGTGTATGCATGCATCATATCATAAAAAAGCGTTTAAAATCATCAACGTAATAAGTTGTGTTTGACCATTTTGCCCAAGAATAGGACGGTGGAATTAGATTAGGATGAGATTATGAGATAAATTTCTTATCTTTAAACGATAATCACATCACGTCATTTATTAATTTAATTGCTCCCTTAATCGTAGTTGTTGTAACTAATTATGGTTAAACTAACGGCGTTAGGGTCCCACAACGTTAAGTATGTGACTATGTGTCCCATAGTAAAATACAAGTACCACATTGATCTGCGTATGGCCCAGCGAAGCAGGAAATTGGAGAAAGAGATCACTGTGTGCACGTGGCGTGACATGGGAGCTCCTGAATCTTTTTACTTGGTTTCTGGGTTGAACACGTGGACACCCCGAGGCCTCTCCAGCTGTTCTCCTAAGGTTGCCGACTTCGAATACGGTAGGCTGTATGGGATATACTCCATAACTAGTATTCGAGCTCGGGCAGAATATGAAATTTGATAAAATAGAGTATCATTACTCCATCATGTCTAATCAGTTTAATATTTTGATTGAACTAGTCTTTTAACAAGGTATATATCAGCGTCAACATAATATAACTGTTATGTATCTAGTGTTATAACTTAAGAATTATGACACTTTCATTTTTGATTTAATACTCGTTTTATGATTATAGCAATAAAAATAAAATTTTACAATCTATGTTAAAATCAATTTCCACTTTAAGAGTGATAAACCATTAACCACCACCACCCTAAATATCTCGTAAAACAAACAAACAAAAATAAAATGGTAATCGAAATATTAAAAAAGTGTATTATTTATATCATGACAATACTTTTTTTTGGGAGCATGCACCTTTTTGTTTTGTTAAACTATATGACATATTTTTCTTTTCTTTTTTCCAAAAAAATAAAGGAAAAAGCTTGCATAAAATAAAGGAGAAGGATAGATGTTTACTTTTTTGTTTAATTTATTTATGTGCATACACTTTATATAATTTTTCTTTTCGATGCAATTTTTTCTTTACAGACGTAACATATATAGTAATAGACACAAGGATGTAAGATCAAGAAATAAGAATAAAAAGTCACAAATTTGTGCGATTAATTAACACTTCATAATTTATTAGGTTTTTTTTTTTTTTTTTTACAAAGTGGAAAAAGAAGACTAGCTCTCAACCGACTTATAATTTATTAGTTATGTCCACAAGTAGCTTAAATATAAGTTTTATTAATCACAAAGAATAATACAAGATACATATGAGTAATATCTTTTGTTGGCCGTTTGCTTAATGCATAGACGTATATTAATTCATGAGAATCACGACTAAACAAAGTGAGATTTTGTGATACGGAATCATTTGCTTAAATTTTGCTTTTTATTGAACCTAAATCATACTTAGGCCCTGTTCTTTTGAGCTTTTCAGTAGAGCAGGACAGGACAGGACAGGGCAGAGCAGAGCAGGGCATGGCAAGGCAGGGCAGAGCAGAGCAGAACATAACAGATTTTATTATTATTATTATTATTATTATTATTATTATTATTATTATTATTATTGTCGCATTATTATTATTATTATCGCATTATTATCATTGATTATTTATTATTATTATCATATCTCAAAAACAGACAAATAAAGTCATACAACTTACAATAAATTAGTGGGAAGCTGAGATACAATCTGGGCTCCTCACTCCTCTAGCTATAGCGAATCCTACCCTCGTGAATATATGAGCTGCAGCACGACCCCCAATGTCTTGCGTCGCTGGGAACCTCTGAACTCGCTTCAGTAACGCAACAACCTCCTTCTCTAATTCCCCAAGCGAAGAAAAAGAGAAGGGAATGAAACCATATCCAATCAGCCGACAACTAGCTTCATACTTCACCCGCTTTCGATGAGCCGCATCAGCCACAACTCGTCCAAGAACAAAGTCAAATAGTCCTGTATGTGTCAAAGGATAAGACCTTGTTAAGTCCACACATACATCGCTACCACGATCCCATGAATAAAGTAACACATCTGTAGGTCTGAGGGCCCCGTCATTTCCTCCAGACAACCCTATGTCAACCTCCTTTCTTGCTGAAATCCCAGATCTGTAGCAAATATCAACATGGGTATCCCGGACAACATTATGCCGATGTTTAATACCCACAATACCAGCACACGACACCGCGTGATCACCGAAAATCACTACAAGAAAAAAGGCCATTTCCTTCAGTCGGAAAACCTGTTTCCGACGAAATTTCCGTCGGAACAGGTTGTCGGAAGCCCTTTTGTAAGAGGTTTTCCGACACTGGGATGTCCGTCGGAAATTTCCGACGGAAATTCCGTCGAAAGTTGCTAAAAAAAATAAATAATAAAAAAAAACTACAACACCACCAGCCCTAACCACCCTAACCCACCCTATCGAGCCACCCTGACCACCCAGACCAGACCCCCCACCCCACCTCACCTACCCACCCTGACTAAACCAAACTTCCCCCACCCTAACCCTCACCACCTTAACCCCAGTAAAAACCCAAGAACAAGTAGAGCACGGTGTCGAGATAGAGAACAATGGAACACCCATCCGGTAGCTCAACACACATCGGTAGGTCTTTGCGTTCATCGTCTGACCTAACTCAGAAATAGGGACCACCCGAAGCCAAGAAGAGGTGTGATCTCCCTGCTGCGATTTCCACAATGCAGATTGCCGAGTAGACAAAGAAAAGACGGATTTTGCAAAAGCGGTAACGTTTGTGAAATATATATCTGCCAATTTTTTCATGAGTTTAGGGTCAGCGACCTCAATAGTATTACTCATAATGTCAGACTCCACCGTTCTATTGAACAAGCTCAACGCATCCTCAAAGGCTCGACCAAGGCCAACAACGCCAACATGCCGTAGAAGCCTTGTCTGCAACCCAGCAGACTGTAACCGCGAAGCAAGAAAAGCATAATGGCGAACATCACCTGCGGAATAAACACCAAGCCCGCCATACGTAAAAGGCAAGGTGGCAAGCGGCCACTGCTAATCGCCAAACCCAGGCCCTGAAGTAGTAACAATACGCTCTAAGGAAGATAGAAGAGCCCCATCGAATGTGCGCTGAGCCATCTCAAAAGTACTAGGAGGACAAGTACGCAATGCAAAGTAGAGTTTAGAAACTTCGGTACAAGCCCTAAGCAACAATGGCTCGCACTGAGGATCATCAACCTTAGTAATCTTATCTATAAGCGCAATGATCTTGGTCACCCTCTGCATCACAAGCTCACCTCCAAACCCGGAATCAGAACTAGCGGGACCACCTAGCAACTTAACACCATACAAGGGTCGAGCAATATTAGGTGGAAAGACACCCACAAACCTGCTTCGAGGGTCTTCTAAAGGCCAAAAAACTTCAGTTTTTTCCACGTTAAGATGTAACCTAAGACGAGGTCCTTCCTCCATAATCAACTGCAGAACCTTCCCTACCACAAACGTGTCACCAATAACAGTGCCGTCATTCAAATATCAAGCTTAAAGACATAAATCAAAAGTGTTTTTGATTTTACACACCAGGGGTTGTTAAACCAAAGCAAAAAGCAGAGAACCAAGGGGATCTCCTTGCTGCACCCCCTAGACGACCAGGGGTTATTATTATTATTATTAGATTTTATTTTTTAGATTTTTTTTAACTCTTTTTATAACATTAGAATATGTGTTAAATAATATAGAATATTAATTATAATCATTAAATATTAGAGCAACTCAAAAAAAGACCTTGATGCCATAGTGATTAGTTTTATGTTTACTAAATAAGTCCATACTATCAAATTTGCGACTTTATAAAAACCTCTCACCCTCGACTTTATAAAAACCTCCCCCCCCGTTGCTCTTGCTGAGTTGAAGCCAAATTTGAAAAATAATGTCCATGTACAGCTCATCGACCATCAGCATGCTCTCACCCTTGCCATGTCTATGGCGGGCTTATGCCAAATCAGGCCATTATGTCGTCCAAACCCACACCCAGCTTTAGGGAGAAGTTTCCATTTTGTCATTTACAGTCAAAATAAACAAACAAGTCAAATCAAAATGCCACAATAACAGAGTTAACCATGCTTAACGGCAGGTGACAGGTCGTCTTCTTCTCATGGGACCCAAACCTCACAAATTTCCAATTTAATTAAAAATGACCCACACTTGCCATTTACCAATTCGACCTCCTTCCTTCTTCACTCCCTCTCACCATCACAAAACTCGTCCACCATTCTTTATAAATCACTACTTCTCCTTCTCTTCCCACCATTTTCCCACAATTATTCAATCTTCTCCTTCTTCACATACACTATTCCCGGTTCTCTTTAATCTCCAGGTAAATCACGCGTCGATTTGTGTAATTAATGCCTAATTCTTTTACTTGTGTGTATATAAATAGGATTGAATTTTGCAGGATTCAAATGGCGGAGTTTCATTTCCAAAACGACGAGCTCGAGTTTGTTGATGATATTAACGATTTTACTAATTTTGACGGCGAGCTTTTAGCTTTTTCCGAGAGCTCTTCGCCGACAAGTAGCCTTTGCAACACCGACGATCCTTTCGATTCCGACGTCGAGGATTGCTTTGACGTCGTACGTTTTCTCTATTGATTTTTTGTTACTCCTTTTGTTCGGAATTGAACACACAGTCAAAACTGTTTTTGTTTATGTAAGAATAATTGATTGAAAAATTGGTTGTTTTGTGAAAAAATAGTGTGAAGGAAAGTCGAAAAGCGAAACGACGGCGTTAGAAGCTCGGAATGGGAAAGATATACAAGGGATACCATGGGATAGGCTTAATTTTACGAGAGATAGATATCGTGAGACTCGGTTGAAGCAGTATAAGAATTTTGAAAGTCTTCCTTCTTCTCGAGAACATTTGGAAAAGGTCTGTTTTCTTATTTTGTTTGATTTCTGAAAATATTCATTTTTTATTTTTTATTTTTTCTCTATAGAATATGTTACTCGTACATAATTTGGCTGATTGAAACTGTGAATTTGGCTGATTGAATTTTTTTTTTTTTTTTTTTTTTAAAACTGATTTGACAGTTTATTTTGATTTATGTCGTTTTATTTTCTTAATTGATGCTGATTTTTAACACTGATATACATGAATTGAAACTGCTGTTTGTTAATTGTTTCAAACTGATTAGAATATATTTTTGTTGATTGAAAATTACTGTTTAGAGTTCTTAATTGTTATTAAATTAATAACAAAAAATAAAAAATTGGAAATAAGAAGTTTTTTTTTTTTTTTATATAGAATTTAGTTTTTAGTTGTCATATTTCGGAATTAATTTGATTTTATAATTAAAAGTATGACTAATTTAAATTCTTTTTAATATCGTATGGAATTGTACTTTGAAGAATTCAAAAGTAAGATAGAAAATGACAATGATACTGAATAGGCCCTGTTTTGAATTTTATGATTCATTTTTGTTGATGTGCAATATGTAACAGGAATGCAAGCAAGTGAAGAGAAGCCAAACCTTCTATGATTTTCAGTTTAATACAAGACTTATCAAGTCCACAATTGTGCATTTTCAGGTAAAATTTATGCTTGATTTCCGGTTGTTGCAAAATCATAAGTAGTTTTAATGGAGGGATCACTTAAAGGGACCTTTGAGATTCAAGTCTAAGGTCGTCATATCTGTGTACATTTGCCACAAGGAACAAATGTGAATTTCGGGATCATTTCTATTCTCGATGGAGACTAGACTTCGAATTTGTTTATTTTTAGCGCTTGAGGACTCTATAACAGTTTGCAAATTAAAAAATTAGACAAAAATTATGGTGAAGAGAAGAATTTAATTGAGAATTCATCTGACTTAAAAATTCCCTTTTTAATTTTTTTTTTTATCAAGGGAGATTGTAAAACCAATTATAGAACAAACAGATCTAAGAATTAGAATGTCAATCTGATTTTTTTTTTTTTTTTTTTTTAATATAATCTTTCTCGAAAGAAACAAGCAATTCTTAAAGGTATCTTTTTGTTCAAATGAATATCTAAACTAAATTCTATCCTTCCTAAAACCATTTTTTAATTACTTTATATGCTACTCTGGAGTGCTCAAGTGTTGAAAGTAAACATGACAAGAGTTGAAGTATATTCTCCATTAAATATGGTGATGATTGTGAAATTACTCTTTTTCTTTGCTGCTAGTTTATAAAAAATTACGAGTTTACATTTCGATTTGCAAGGTCCTTGATGTGGCTTTTCGGTTAAGGGTCCCAAGGAAACTCACTTAACAAAGAGTCTAACACGAGTCTGTAGCCATATGTCAGACACAACCATTTCATGAAAATTTGCATGATTTTGGTCCAACATAAACTGTCTAATTGTCATACCTTTGAGTGTTGAGTATCTAAATAGGTACTTGAGGAAAGGAGTAACATTAGATGTTTAGATAGGGGGTTTGCTGCGTGTTTTAAGTTTTTTAGATCCAATTAGCATGTGTTTCTTATAGAGTGATACACTAAAGAATTTCAGCTTTAGGCTTAAGATGGTATAATTGGCCTCTAGTTTGCTTGTTTAGACATTTGGTTATTACATTAAGCAAACAAACCTAATTCTGGCCTAGATGAATTGTTATGTGGCTCAAATTTGACCAACCTTATTTTCATCACACGTTAAATTTCTGGCTTAATCAAATTGTTATGTGGCACAAATTGACCAGCTTCATTTTTCTTCCATGTCTATGTATTTTTATATGCTGTATCTGGTGGAAAAAGCCGTGTGGGTTGTATTTACTTTATCTTTTTGTGCAGATAATTGAAGATTTAATCATTACTATTGATTTGATGCTAAATACTCACAAAATATTCTAAATATAAAAGTTCGGTCATGTAAGGTACTATCTTGAGTGGATTTTGCTTTGTGGTGATGTAATTTGTTATACTTGTAGTAATATAAGGTATTATGTTCAGCATTATGTTATTTTCCGTAGTAGTGCTCATAAAGTTATCTTGTCTACTTAGTATAATACTCTGGTTAGTCTGGTAAAAGCATCATATTGTTGCATGCAATACATTAAGTGTCTGTTGTGGCATCTTGGAAGTCCATGTTTGGAGGTTGTAAAATATGTCACCATTGGAGATAGAACAAAGAAAAAAAAAAGGCAGAAAGAGGTCTGAGAGTCAGGAGGCTATGTTTGGTATCTTTTACAATAGACATCAGAATAAAGCCCCTTTAGTTGCAGAACATGTTCGTTTGTACTGTATATGTGCATGAGTTATAATAAGCAAAACCTCATATTATCCTTGTGAAATAAAGAAATCAATAGAGTTTGAACATCTGAAGTCTGTCTATATATTACTGCTTCGAACTGGATTTACTATTAGTTGACCTTGGCCACTTTGCTTTTGGGTGTCATTTGATGCTGAAATTAGAATAATGTAAACGATTAAAAGTGGTGTTTACAACTCTTTTGTTTTAATTAGCATTATAATATTGCTTTAACCGCCTTGTGGCATTAGAATTTTAACTGTCTGTAGCAGGATGGAGTTATATCTGAGCAGCTGGCGCTTAAAGGGTACGTTTCAATATGGTATGAGAGGATAAATATAATTCTGGACATGTTAGAGAATTAGAAGCTTGCAATAATTGTTGACAACACGATAATTTTTTTTATTTTGTAATTTCTTTATTACTACTAATTACTTCCTGTTCAATATCTTGGATAATTTTTTTTTATTTTTTTATTTTTTAATAATAATCTTATTGCTTATATACTTTGTGGTGGATTGTAGTTTTTCATTATGTTCACCCTTCTATCTGACTATCTTTGCATACGTTAGTAGTTTTATTCGTATTTTTTCACTCCCTTCTGCACAGTCCATAGTTAAGCTGCCGATGGTTGAATGCTGACTGTTCATCATGATTCTATCACCTAGTATAAGTAAAGACTTCAATAGTTCTAACACACTTCCAGTGCCATGTCAATTGGTTGGTGTTGATATGCTTACCTATTCCACTTGATCTGAGATTGTAGAGGTGCTTACATAACAGAATTTACTAGGTTAGAAATGCCAGAGAGAGTGATGAGTGCATCAGTCTGAGTTTTTGAGTGTAGTGATCTCATTCCTGGCACTTGTAAAAAGCTTATGATTCATTTATTAAGTTGGTGTGAGAATTTGGTGGTTGTTTCTAACTCTTCGCAATCTGTTTTGTGTCTGCAGCTGAGGAATTTGTTGTGGGCGACATCGAAGCATGACGTTTATCTTATGCAGAACTCCTCTGTTATGCACTGGTCTGCTCTGCGTAAGAAAAGTGAAGAAGTGATTAATGTGGCTAAACCAATTGTGCCAACAACTGTGAGTCATAAGTGTCCTCATCTGTTGCAAGTATGAAAGCTTTGCAAGGGTGCATCTTTTCATAGTTATCTCACTTATCTGACAGTATTAGTTTCATGATACATTACAGAAATGCACTCGATCTCTTCCTCTGCCCTTGTCAAGAGTGCAGATTAGCACTATGTGCGTGAAGGATAATCTCTTGGTGGCGGGTGGTTTCCATGGGGAGCTCATTTGTAAGGTACATGCCTTTAATTTTATGTTCTGGTCACTCCAGTAGTCCAGTGTTGATAACTTGTTTGGCTTACATGTTATTGTCACTCTCTGGTTGCAGTACTTAAATCAGCCGGAAGTGGAATTCAGTACAAAAGTGACGACAGAGGAGAATGCAATAACTAATGCAGTAGATATATGCCAAAGCCCTAGTGGTTCAAAATGCATTATAGCTGGCAACAATGATGCTCAAGTTAGAGTTTTTGATGCTGCAAATTTCATTTGCATTAATCGTTTCTGCTTTCCATGGTCTGTGAATGTGAGTACTACCTCATGGCTTCTATGTTGGAAACCAGCCCAACTTTTCAATATTGCTGATGATTTGTGAGATATGTGCTGACTTGTTATCTTTGCTTTGTTTGTAGAACACCTCGATGAGCCCCGATGGCAAGTTAATGGCTGTCCTTGGTGACAGTACAGAGTGTTTAGTATCTGAATCTCATACAGGGAAAGTCGTCGGTACACTCAAAGGGCACATGGATTATTCATTTGCCTCTGCTTGGCACCCTGATGGCCGTATCTTGGCCACCGGAAACCAAGACACAACGTGCAGACTCTGGGATATCAGGAACATGTCTCAATCCCTTGAGGTACTTAAGGGAAGAATGGGTGCCATAAGAGCACTGAAATTCACTTCAGATGGCCGGTTTATGGCCATGGCCGAGCCAGCTGACTTTGTCCATATCTTCGATACACAATCTGGATATGAGGAGGCACAAGAAATCGACCTGTTTGGAGAGATTGCAGGGATTTCTTTCAGCCCCGACACTGAAGCACTGTTTGTCGGGGTTGCTGATCGCACTTACGGTAGTGTGCTAGAGTTTAATCGAAGACGTAATAATAAATACTTGGAGGCCATATTTTAGGAAATGTTCCTTTTGCAAACTGCAGACAACCTGTTGTTTTTTCCAAGAGTGAGATGCAAATATTTGGACATAGTAGTAGAAGCTTTTTTTTCCCGGTGTAATTTGAACTGTGGAGGCATTATTTTTAGAGGTTGATGCCGATGCCTCGGAAGTCATCTAGCTATTTTGCTAATTAAGAAGCCTTTTTTCTCCCGATTAGCTCAATGTAAAGAACACTTTATTTTTGGGATGCTTTTTAAATTCGTCTTGTGTATTACTAATACTTTGTATGCGTTCACGTAAATTTTATGTATTTATTTATCATTACTCCGTACTATATTTTTTGGTCTGCACTTGAGCATTTTAAAGTCAATAATATGGATACTGACTTGTAGTGTGTTGGGAGCGGATTCTAACAACTTACAAATTAGGAAAAAGATCAATCAAAGAATCAATTAAAGAATACAAAATTTGACTTCATTTATGCATAATAAGTAAACAAGCTGAAGAAGGAAATTATGCGTGGTAAAAAATATCAATGGAATAGCTCATCAATCAAAGTTGATCCAATCAATAAGTCAACAATCAATTAAAGATCTTATGAAATCAATCAAGACTATAGAATCAATCAAATAAAGCTAAATCAGGAAATAAATTACTTGATTGACGAAATACTATTCGCGTAGTGGTCCCAATTGAGTACAGACAATATGGACTTAATTGCACCTTTCTGAGTAAGTCGACCACCTTTTTGAGCCTTTCTGAGAAAGGCAGCTTCCCTTCAAAGCTCGGACTAGTTGATGACGCGTAACGAATACTTGGGCAACAACCCATGATTGAAGGAGCGAATCGAGGAAATATCAATCATAAGTCAACATTTCCTAAAAGATGAAGATGCCAATCAATATTGTCAACATTACCAAAATAATGAAGATTCTTCAATAATTATCTTTATTAGATTTTACAAATTATTATAAATAGGATGCTCTTTGTAATAGAATTCATTCGTACATTATCTAATATAATTTACTACACTTTTATACTAAAATCTATGATATTATGTCGTCCTTACTGGTATTATTTCGTCCTTACTCATAATTGACTCTTTTACTTTGATCTTTGTTGTTCGATATATAATTATTATTATAGTTCTATTATTTCATTGCTCTTATTAACTCATTCATTTGAAGATTGTGTTTATTTTCTTTTAACAGATTTGATTAAAACCTTTAACAAATTCCTAGAAACCCCTTTCTAAGATTTGTCCAAACCATAGTGCAACAGCCCAATCAGGGGCATAACGACACTTTCAGATAAAAGTAAAATGCGTCACTCTTAATCTTAATTGGAGAACATGAGATAAATTTGGTGTAAACTTTATTGAATAAAATGGCTTACTTTTGGGTTAAATATAGGATTATGAAGCTTCTAGTTGAACAAAGTAATCTAACATTGTAACTATTTTGTCTGGATAAGGTCTAAGGAGGTCTCTATGAGTATTATGACTCTTATCGTTCTCCATTTAGAGTAATGAAATAAATCAAAAAATGACCCCATAAATCAAAATATGATATGGGGTACTACATATTTTAGGCATTAATTAGGAATATCATTCTATGTTATCTAAATTTTATTAAGGGATTTTAGTAATTTCAAGTGTTTGAAGATTTTTAATGATGAAAGCCAAAATTCTTTTGGAAAAATTAATAAAAATAATCCAAATTATTGACCATCTTCTCATTTTAATTCAAACTAGTCTTTTAACTTAGAATAAACCAAAGTATAGGGGTAGTTGCTCATATTAGTTTAAGCAAAGTTTAAATTAAATGTGTGGGCCTCACTTTTAATTTTTTAAATTGCATTTTCTCCTCCTACGGTCCTACCTCATCTAACCACCGAAACTATAGTACAGAGTACCATTTTCATGCCTTTTCTAAAGCTTGGGGTTTCCTCCATGAAAGAGCATTAGTCAAAGAGCAATTTTGCATGTATGACAGTTCGTCTTCAAATTTTGTAAATTTCCATTTTTTTTTTCTCTTCTTGATTACAATTATGTATTTCGTTGCTTCTAATATTCCATTAAAGTTCAATTGCAAATCGTATTATTGGAGCGTAGAGGTGAGACGAGACGAGACGAACATTCGTTTCTCCTCTCTTCTTGCATGTGCAGAAGCTGCAGCTTTAAGTTCCACCAATTCTTGCTCAATTTTTTTTTTGTTCTTTCCCTTCAGCTTAGCTTCTTGATGATTTCCCTCTTACCATAAGTTTCAATCACAAGCTCATCAACGATTTCTTGTTTTTCCCTCAATTTATCTAGCGTAAACTCTTCCTCCCATTTGAAATAATTGCGATTTTCAGACTAACAATATAACATACAACACAATTCAAGAATAATAAAAAAAAAACCGCATCTTTAAATTCAAATTCATGTCAAAAAATAATTAAAATTGAAAAAAATACACTTGCTGGGAACTTCCCACATCCATAAAAACGCTTCCCAGATTCCCAGTATGTACTCCTCCATTATTGACTGCCCTAAGCTTCGCTGGAGCATCGCGGTGACAATCCACATTAAGCCAAAATTTTAATGAATGAGTTGAGAAATATGAGATGGATGAGTGGCTGAATGAGTTTGCACTAGTAGACATGATTTAATTTTGGAAGGAGGAACCAAAAAGATGAAATCTTGATGGTGACCAGAGGAAGATAAAATAGAAGTAGAAGATGGTGATTTTGAAGAAGTAAATGGTTCCAAAAATGAACGGTAAAGGAGGAGTAAATGCAATTAAAAAAACAAAAATGGTCCCCATAAGAGTTATTTAACCTGTCTAGCAGGTTACTAAGTTGCTTAGACTAGTATGAGCAAATCCCTATACTTTGGTTTATTCTAATTTAAAGATTAGTTCGGATTAAAATGAGAAGATAGTGAATAGTTTGGATTATTTTTGTCAATTCTTTTTTTATTATTTTATTTTCTTATTTTTTACCTTAAAATTTAATTTAGTAGATCTTGGTTTTTACAAAAAATAATTTGGATATTATTAAAGAGATTGAGAAATTATACTTGTAGGTGTTTAATGTATCAATATATTAAAAACATATGTTAATAAGTTAATTGATTAGTTTTATTGTATATACGTAATATCTTCATCAGTGTATAAATAATTAAAGCTGTATAAAGTCTAAAATGTTACAATTATTGTTAGGAAAAATACACTTTAATAATATACCAACTATGAACGATTTACTTTTAATAAACCCAACTAAGCTTTATTATCTAATAATCCCAACTATGGGGTCGGTTTGCCTCCAATGACCAATGGTCCCAATGACTGGTGACCTGCTAAAAGAGTGTTTTTTTTTGTTTTTTTTTTGTTTTAATCGCCACGTGTCAACACGTGAATGGTCCAAAATTAAAAATAAAAAAAACATATTAAACATAAAATTAAAAAAAACCAAAATTCCAGCCACCTCTCTCCCACCCCCTAACCTCACCGAAACCCTAACCCCAGCCCCCAACCTCACCGAAAATCGGCCGCCAACCCCCCTCAACCACCGAAAACAGCTGGCCGGCCTTTACCATCCATCCCCGACCCCTAAAACCATACAACAGCCACCAAAATAGTCACGCAACACCATGAAAACCACTGCGCACCTGATAGAGGATCTAAACACGTCATTAAATGCTTAAAACATTATCAACAAAATTTATAAACACTCGACCAATCCTAAACCAAGTATAGGGTAAGTCAAGGGTCGAACCACGAGGAATAGGAGAAGGGTTACTATATCCTAGGGTCAAGCTACTTCGAAGAATGGGAAAATGTTGAATGTGTAACTATAATCTCAATCAACTAAAAGCAATATAGAAATTCAATATCAAAAGCACTAGGGATTAGGATCCACATGCAATCAAGATAGAGATACCAATCAAAGGAAATCAAATCGATTGAAAAGGTGTAAGGACTAGTAGCAATTGCAATTGAAAGAGTCCAAAAGGTTATCTCCTAGAAGTCAAGCTAGGTTTCCTCTATGAGTGACTAACAAGGAGCATCACAATTCAAAATCAATCAATAGATGCAATCCCCAAATCAAGTTGTCATGTCATTAGGAATTACAATGCAATCTTGCATGGAAATCAAAGTTGATCACTCCCATCAAACCAAACACATACACAAATCTACTACTCAATTTAATTACAACGTAACATTCAATCAATAAAAAAATCCCCAAATTAGCTATCATCCATCATACATGCATGCTTCACCTTCACCCTAGCAAGGAATCTACTCACTAAGCATGTTGAATTTGAAGAACAAAACTAAGTAAATCATAATCATCATCATATCCAAATAAATCAAGTAGAAATTCAAATAAATCAAACTATTTACCAAAGGATCAACAAATCAAACAATCATTCATGAATCAAAAGCAAAATCAAAGCAATAGAGAAGAATTAAGGGAAGAAAATATCACTAATCATCATTGAATGAAGGAAATCCAAACTTGATTGTAACAATATAGATATTTCTAAGTCTTTTACAGGATATAAATACCTGTTATCATTGTAAGGAATTCATTCATTCTGGGAAATAAAATTTTCTTTCTTCTTCCTTGGTTTTCTCTCTGCAAAACCTTGTACTCTTCTCAGCTCATCAATGGAGTTTCTTCATTGAATTTGCTAACTACTTAGTGAATTAGAGTCAGATTCCAGTTCACAACTCGTGTAATGTTACAAATAAACTTCAAATTCAAATTGAACTTTTAATTCATTGACGTGTCTATCTATTGCTAATCGTATCCACAAATTTATATCTATGATAAAAGATTCCTGATCATCAGTACGCACATCCACATCGTAGAATTGAAGCAGGAATTTATTAACAGGGATCCCTTGGTGAAGCATTAGCACATTACGCATAAAATTAATAACACGAGGAATTTGTTCATCAGAACATGTTTTACTAGCCCAATTACATTCTTTGAAAAAATCAGTGTCATTAAAATTAAGAGAGGAAGCCAAATCTGCGAATCAATACGATTCTAACAGCATCTAAAATTGGTAGCAATGAAAGATTGTGCACCAATATTTCATTAGGCAATTCACTTAACCTGTCTCTTGCATTGTTTCTCATAGAAGCCTTACTTTTCTTTGAAGTAGACACCATGTTTTTTGAGGTCGTCATAATTCTAGTAGAAAAACAACATTGAAAGGTTTAATTCAGAGTATTATCATCAAACAAAATCAGTTAATTGGATAGAATAACAGTATTAAAAGGTTTAATTCAGAGAGTACTACATCACATATTAAATTAGGTCAAGATTAGTGATATGATTGAATAGAATAACAAAATTTAAAAGCTTAAATAAGTGATTAAGAGAGTGTTTACATCAAACATAAAATTAAGTCAAAAATCACGATATAATTGAGGAATACAAAAAAATTGAAAAACTTATTTTTTATGAACTCATCCAAATTTAAAAGCTTAAATAAGTGATTAAGAGAGTGTTTACATCAAACATAAAATTAAGTCAAAAATCACGATATAATTGAGGAATACAACAAAATTGAAAAACTTATTTTTTATGAACTCATCCAAATTTAAAAGCTTAAATAAGTGATTAAGAGAGTGTTTACATCAAACATAAAATTAAGTCAAAAATCACGATATAATTGAGGAATACAACAAAATTGAAAAACTTATTTTTTATGAACTCATCCAAATTAACCTGAAATTATATTGTCATTTCGAACAAGCTTACGACACAATTGAATAGAATCGCATAGATGAAAAGCTGAATTCAGAGAATATTACATCAACAATAGAATTAGGTCAAAATTACGGAAGAACGGAGAAAAGTCAATTTACCAGATGAAAGAGAAGGGATAAGAAGGCAAGCTTTAAAACTTGAAATTCATCAATAAAGCATGAAATTTGGATTATTCTGCGAAAACCAAGTGGAGGGATTCCAGGCTAGTTGGTTGAAGTAGAATAGGAAAAAAGAGCGACAAACAGGCGAGCCTCGGTTAGTCTTCAAGATACATTAAACAAAAATCGTTTATTCAGTGGCTTTTCTCTAAATAAATCAACAAATTATTTAAGTCTGGCCATGTTCACTTCACTATTAAAAAAACTAACATTCAGTATAATTAATTTCAGTTCAGCAAAAATAAGTTCAGTTTAGTAAAAATCAGTAAACTTAAAGAAGAAATATAATAGAAAATCAGTAAAAAAAAAAATAATTTCAGTTCAGCAAAAATAAAAAATAATTTAAGTTCAGTAAAAATAATTTCAATTCAGCAAAAATAAGGTGAAATGAACGGGGCCTCAGTATGTCATTTTTGTAAATAAATCAACATTTGTGAAATTCGTATTTAATATAAGTTATTGATTTATTTACCTAAATATCATTAGATAAATACGTACTTTTTTGTTTGTTATAGAGATAAATTTGTATTTTCTCCAAATTGAGTTGGATTACTTATAGAGTTTCACCTATAGCCTTTGCCTTGTTTATTTTTCATTAATACAATGACGCATTTGATAGATGATATTAAATTGCGAACATGTTAATGAATTAATGGGTAAATCTATAAAGAAAGTCAATCTTTAACTATTTATAGATAATGGAGCTCAATCTTCAAACATTTTTATTTTTTTTTTAAACTAATGTCACTTACCAGTTACCACTCATGACTTGAGTCTATATAATATGGCCATCAACCACAAGAATAATAAAATTTGAGAGTGAAATTTTTTACGAGTATGTACAATCGGTTGTACACTATGTATTCCTCAGGGTTTTTTTCTTCTTTTTTAAAACTCTTTTCCTAGACAGTGCAATTAAATCATACAATCTCTTTTTATATATATATATTCTCACTTATGAAGAATGGGAACGAAAAGAAATAAGGCGTTTCTAGCTCTAGTTTCGGATGAGCTTCTCCCATAAACTAGCATGTGGCTTACCATCTCTTAAAACAGGGGAGACAAAATGAAGAGGCCTACCTTTAGCAGTAAGTTGAGCACCAGAAACAATAGAGGACCAAGCCTTCCTGGGACAGGAGGCGAGAGTATGTATGTTCACATTTATCAAGGAGCATTGATGTAGTCGAAAGCTTTCTCTGGCAATCACAAGGATCAAGGCGAACCGCTTGCTGTATTTCCTGCTCTTTAAGCAGTTACTTACTTTGCTCGCCTACTCTTTAATGATAAGTGAATCTCGCATATCCAGAATCTCAAGAAATATAGATGCAGGAATGGAATATGAACAACAACTTCCTCGTTGGCAGATCCGATGTTCTACCTTTAAAAAAAAAGTACTAAAACTAGCTTTCCTCTCGCCGCTCTGTCATTGTCTGATTTTTGGTTGTTTGATCACACTCGAAATTATGTATTTACTTATCGTCTTTTTGCCCTTGCTTGGTAGTTCCGTAGCTGGTTTTTTCGGACGTTTTCTAGGATCAGAAGGAACTGCTATAGTGACTACTACGTGCGTTTCATTCTCTTCGATCTTATCTTTGATTGCTTTTTATGAAGTCGCACCAGGAGCTAGTGCTTGCTATCTAAGAATTGCTCCATGGATTTCATCGGGATAGAGACTCGAGACTGAAAACTAATGTCCTTCTTCCTCTGAGCGGTATTCAGCCAATCACTTAGACTGGCTTGAGCTAAGTGGTATGGTAAGGCCTTTGAGGCAGTGCCATATGTTGAATATTATATTGATCCAATCCAGTTTAGGCAAGTCCCCACAGCCCGCCAAAACGGCTCCGAAACAAACAAAAAGGTGCGTGCCGCACTCACGAGGGACTGCCAGTGATATACTGGAGGAAGGTGGGGATGACGTCAAGTCCGCATGGCCGAAAGGGTCCTGATGTAGTGGGATCGTTCGGATTGTCATCCAATCCACAACAAATCGAATGAAACCTGGCGAAAAAGAAGTGAACATCCGGAACAACAGGAGTTATACTCAAGGAAGTTATGGACTGGAATCAGAGATTAGATGGACATCCGGAACAGAGAGGAAGCAAACAAGGCTAGTTCATAAAGACGTCTGACCGTTCGTTCATGATATTCACCTAGAGTGAGTTCGGACTTTGATGAGATTATTTTAGGGATTTTTTACCAAACTGAGATTAATACATAAACAATTTATCAATCTAGACGCGTGGCCAAACTATTTACGAAACTGAGCTTCTGAGGTAAAACGCTGACTTGGTCAGCGTTTTTCCTTAGTTTTTTTTTTTTTTTTTTTTTTTTTTTTTTTTTTTTTTTTTTAAATTATGTATTTTGTGAAATACAAAATAAAAAAAAAAACTGAAAATACACAAAAACGCTGCCTCAGTCAGCGTTTTTATGTAAGGCTAACAGGCCTTAAAACGCTGCCTGAGGCAGCGTTTCATTAATACTAGAAACACGCTGCCTGATGCCTTCACTCATCCTCAAAACTTAAACTCTCTCTCACACTCTTCATCAACGGTTTTTCCGATCTGTCGTCGCCGTCGCCACCGCCTACTGCCTGCCGCCGCCTACAGCCCTCGCCGCCTGCTGCTGGCCTGCCGCCACGCCTCTCCTCTTCCTTAATCACATTGTTGGTACTTCTCACTCGTTGGTTTTTAAAATCTAAAAACCTAGGTTAGTTTGATAATTATATACTACATTGTTTTAATTTGATAATGTTGTTGATTATTCTAAGTTAGTTTGATGTAAATTGATAAATATGTTGATAATTCTAAGTTAGTTTGTTGTAATTTGATAATAGTTTAGTATAAAAGCCCTAAATTGATGTTAGTTTAGTATGAAAGTTTTTGATGAAATTGTGGAAGTTTTTGATGAAATTGTTGATAATGTTGATGAAATTGTTGATAATGTTGATGAAATTGTTGTTCTAATTTGATAAAGTAGCCTACATTGTTGTTTAATTACGAAAAATATGTTATGTAGAATATGTTGGTTGTTATAGTGTGAATATGTTGGTTGTGTACTTTGTTTTGGTTGTTATGTGAATTGGAACAATGTTGGTTAATTATGTTTATAGTGTGAATATCTTGGTTGTTATAGTGCGAATTGCTGGAGATTGCAATTAAGATGTGTTTTTGGTTGTTGTGTAGAATATGGCTGCACAAAACGCAGCTTTGTTATGCCGGTAGGGGGGGGGGGGTGAATTTGTGTTTGATGGACCGAATGTCCAGTATAGTGGTGGAAATATGGAACCATTGCCACTTGGACCGGACATAACTTTCAACGATCTGATGAACGAGGTTCATAGCATTATTGGCTTAAACCCAATGAATGCACAACTTAACATTCAAATGAGGTTTGAGACTAATAATGCGGTTCAAGTGTTACCTTGTTCTAACGATAGACATTTGAAAGCTTTGAGGAGCGCTGTTTTAATGAGGGGTTATCCACATGAGATATATGTAGAAATAGTGTTTACATGTACTCAACAAAGTACTTGACCAGATCAACAAGCTACATATTTTTTCGGATACACAGAGTCCTTCCGAATGCCCTCACAAGACATTCCATCAACTCAATATGGGATGGGGTCCTTCAGTAGACTGCTTCATGACGATCAGTTTCAGATGCCAATGAGTTCACATATAGCTTCACCTGTATATGGTGGACCATCTACGACAATGTTTGGCCAATCTGGTCCTTCGACGTCGAACACATTTATATCTTCTCCGATGCAAGTCCATAATTATTCACCTACGCAGCATGATGATCACACATCACCGACTCAACCATTGGTGAATCATCTTGAAAATCTACAACATTTGGTGAATAACGAGTTGTCTATGTATGATGTGCTCCGGGAAACAAATGATAGGCTGAGAGCGAAGAGGAGGAAGATGGACTGGATAATATGGATGTTGATCCTCCAGACAGGGAAGGTGGGGAGGCCATGGTTAGACCTCCTATTCCTTGGTTCAGTCAACTAAATGAGAATTATGAGGTTGATCAATATTGGGCCGAATCAGGTAGTCATACAACATTTGTGATCGGGGGAGAGTTTGAGAAGGGTATGTTCTTTGAATCTAAGAAACTTCTTCAAGAAATGGTGAAGAAGTATTCTATACAAAGGAACCAATTCTACACCACGGTGACCTCGAATGAGAAGGTCCTTCATCTGCGGTGCAAGAAGAATTGTGGTTGGTCACTACGAGGTGCTAAAAAGAGTGAGCACTCAGACGGCTTTACCATAGTCACATACAAAGGCCCGCACCGGGAGACCTGTGTCACTGAAGTGTTATCTACAGATCATGCACACTTGGATTCATCCATAATTTCCGATTTTGTGAAGTCTTTTGTGCAGAAAGATATGCTTGAAAGTTGAATTTATACAGGAACTCATATCCAAGAATTTTCAGTTCGACGTTACTTATCGAAGAGCATGGTATGATAGGGAGAAAGCCATATCTGAAGTATTTGGGGATTGGGAGAGTTCTTATGGTAGACTTCCGCACTTCATGGAAGCACTCAAACAGTCAAACCCGAGAACCGTTGTTGTATGGAAACACAAAGCTCTGGTAGACGGTGTTTATTACAGCAACATGGAAGTGTTTGAACGAGTATTTTGGGCCTTCGGCCCTTGTGTTGAAGGTTTTAAACATTGTATGTCTGTCATCTGTATCGATGGGACGCATTTGTACTGGAAATTTAAAGGAACATTGTTGGTTGCTACAAGTGTGGATGCAAACTTCCAAGTATTTCCACCTGCATTTGCGTTAGTCGAAGGGGAAAACACTTCCAGCTGGTCTTGGTTTATGGGCTGCATTCGGGTTCATGTCACTCAAAGAGATGGCCTCTGTGTTATATCTGATCGACATGCTGGGATCATTGCAGCAATGAATGACCTTAACGTTGGATTCATCGAGTCGCGAGCCTATCACAGGTTTTGTGTTCGACACTTGGCTTCTAACTTGAAGACTCACGTGCGAAGAAACGACATGAGAGATATGTTCAAGGCTGCTGCGTACCAAAGGCAGGAAAGAAAACTGCAAGCTGATTGAGTTTGATGGAGACAAGAGACGCACTCCTTCCATCTACCTGTTGGGGAGGCGACCGTGACGTTGCGAGACCTGGCGATTATTACACGTCTTCCCATTCATGGGAGTCCGGTGACTTGATCTGCATTGACCAATCCCTCCGGTTATGTAGCTCAGGTTCTCGAGGTTCAGCCAGGTCCAGACGATATCAGGGGCGGCGGATTGAGGACCGCTGGATACGCGACACTGTTCGTGTGTTTCCAGATGGTGCTGATCAGGCCACTGTTGAGAGACATGCTCGAGCGTACCTTTTTCTGCTCATCTAGGGTGTATTGTTCGGTGGCAAGAGTGGCAGCCATTTACAGATCATTTAACTGCAGCTGATAGACCACGACTGGGAGCATATCCGTGGCTACAGCTGGGGCAGTGCTTGTTTGGCGATATTGTATCGCTATCTGTGTAGAGCATCCCGTCGGGGTTCTCGTGAGATCAGCGGTCCGTTATTTTTGCTTCAGGTAACCTACCTATCTGTTAACAATTTAATTTGGAAAGTTCTTACTTAGTTTACAATTAACCTAATTTTGTGTGTTTGATGTCCAGTATTGGTCTTGGGAGCACATCCATGTAGGCAGGCCAGGTAGGAATGTTATACATCGTCAGGGGCAGCAGGATCAAGACCAGCATGACGAGAGGTACATTCCTCCACCACGCCCTTCCGCTGACAAGGCGTACGGTTGCAGATGGGCGATCCCCAGACTGACATATGCGCATGCGGCAAGGGGCCTTCTGTACTACCGAGACGCACTTGACCGACTCACCGAGTATTAGGTGATAACTTTAATTTATTTTGTAAACATTTATTTATTATGTATACTCTTAACCTATTTAATATGCACTAACCTGTTTACGATATTACTTTGTATGTGTTATCGCAGATGACATGAGACCCATATGAAGCTGATTTAGTTGCTGCCTTGCCTCCACATCTGCTAGATCATCAGGCGCAGTGGCGTTCTAGGGTCCCCCTGATCTGTTTTGAGGTTGTGGAGAGTCACCTACCGGATCGAGTCATGCGACAGTTTGGACTACGCCAGCCTGTCCCCCAGCAGTGTGACACTAGTGCCCGGCTGTACCGCATTGACCGTCGGGGAAAGAGCGAGAGGAACTGGCGGATGGAGCATGACTAGTACATTGACTTGTGGCATCGACGGTTAGAGTTCGTCATCACTGGTGACCCCATCCAGGGCGTTATGGATCCATACGATCCATACATGGAGTGGTACAGGCGGATTACACGACGTTTCATCAACCCTAGTTACACGCCGCCATCCGCACATTACCATCCATCCTTTGACGTGATCTATGGATATGTAAGTGTATTTGATTTACTTATTTTTTCATCAATTTTTAATTTGTATATCATTCAACTAACTCATCCATAATTACTGCAGGCATTTGATATGACGGCGATGGTTGACGCACTGTCGGACGCCCTTCCACAGATACCTGAACCGCCCAGAGCACAGGTCGAGCGGGTGCGAGATATGGGCATGGCTACCTTGCAAAGATATGGTCATGCCTATCTCGTTCACCCCCGGGACGGTCATGGAGGCCACTCACAATTCGAGGCTGGCCAGAGTAGCGGTGGGGGTGATCATGCGTCATTCACGGCCGTAGAGGAGTATGTCATCCGCAGTTCCGCGCCCACACCTCATCCGGATGGCTCGTTGTCCAGCCAGCTGACTCCGCTAGTACGCCCAGACCCATTTACCACCGTCCGTCACTACAGCCGTCATGTCAGACCGAGAGGCAACATACAGGATAGAGAACCGTTACACCGGATCGATGAGTCAAGATAGGATAGAATTATCTGATTTAATTGTTGTAATGAGCTTCTCTAGTTTGTTGTATATAACACTTACATTATATTATTATTATTATTATAATAAATGTGTTTTGAATGAATTTATGTCTTGTTTGAACTTCAAATTCCTTTTTTGTGCATATTTGATTCATTTCGTTCAAAATAAATCAATATAGGCTGGTTTGGAAGTCGTTGGGGTGGTTTGAAGTGCCTAAGGATGGTTGAAATCGCCGGTGGAGGGTGTTGGTCGATGGGCGGTGGTGGACGGTGGTGGTGGTGGTAGGTTGGTGGTTGATACCGGTGGTGGTTGATAGTGGTGGTGGTGGTGGAGGGTGGTGATTGGATGCGATGAGATGGTGGTGGATGGAGATGGTGGTGGTGGTGTCGGGAGGTGTTGGAGGGCGGTGTGGATGGTGAAGTGGGGATGGTGGATGCCGGTAGGGATGGGAGGTGGTGGTTGATAGTGGTGGTGGTGGAGGGTGGTCAAGTGGTGGATGTGATGAGATGGTGGTCGTGGTGTCGGGAGGTGTTGGAGGGGCGGTGTGGATGGTGAAGTGGTGGTGGTGGATGCCGGTGGGGATGGGAGGTGGCAGTGGAGGAGGGTGGTGGTGGAGGAGGATGGCTGCTACTGCTGCTGGCTGCAGTCAGCCAGCAGATAAAACGCTGGCTGAGGCAGCGTTTTATGGCTTGGCTTTGACATATTAGCCTTACACAAAAAATGCTGACTGAGGAGGCATCGTTTTTGTGTATTTCCTGTTTTTTTTTTTTGTATTTCACAAAATACGAAATTTTTAAAAATAAAATAATAAAAAGGGGTAAAACGCTGACCGAGTCAGCGTTTTACCTCAGAAGCTCAGTTTCGTAAATAGTTTGACCATGCGTCTATATTCGTAAATTGTTTACCAATTAAGCTTAGTTCCGTAAAAAATCCTTATTTTAGTATCTCAAAATACAATTAAGGCCGTGCTTAGTAAGACTTCGGCCTGATACATGGTATATGCACACAACCCTCCCCAAAGTCCCAAACAAAAGGCCCAACTCTAACATCAATTTTTGTCTCCCCTACCACCTCCGCCCTTTATGACAACAAAGATTCAAACCCAAGTTGGAGCTGTGATTTCAGGGTGTGCTAGTGTGCTACTATTATAACTACACCACTCCCTCTTCTTCTTTTTTTTTTTTTTTTTGAGTTTGTCCCACTCGGTTCACCGCTAGCTCCGACTACATTCAGATTCGATCCGGGTTGCACAATTTGACTTATAATGGGTGAGTCTCTCATCAAGAGTTTTTTGCATTCGGTGAGGCTTGAAATCAGAGACCTTCTTTAAGCGACATCAAGTTGCTTACCACTTGAGTTAACTCTTGTTGGTATAATTACACCACTCCCTCTTTTTTTTTTTTTTTAATATATTTTTTTTAATTTATTATTATTATTTATTTTTTTTACTCCACTCCCTCAATTCAAACAAATGTTGATATCTTTGCATTATTGCTAAATTAGTCCAATTGCTATAAAATTTTGAAAAATAACTCTTCATATGTTATCTACTATATACTTGATCCCAAAATAAAGTGGTGAAAAGGTTTCTCTCAATCAACCATCACTCTGCCACTACTCCACTAGTCCATCTAAAAAAGCCGGTTGACAATGTAATTTGAACCATTAATGCAACAACTAATTTCGAACAAAGTACAAATTAAAACCTAAGAGCGAAGAACTATACTAATAACCTTGTAGATCCTCCCTCAAAAAAAAAAAAAAAAATTAAAAAAATAACCTTGTGGATCCATCCCTAAGAACATCAGAGCGGTTAACAATCTTAATACGATCAACACTAAACTCAGAACTAAACTCAGAGATATATCTATCAAAGAAAGGCCAATCAGGCAAGAGTACACCAGCAATACCACCTAGTCCCACTACATATGTGACCATCATTTTCTTAAATGAATGTGTAAATCCCCACCACCGCTGATCAAACACCACCGTAGGGCTGCATGCCTGCATCATTTGGCAACACTAGAATAGCCACCATCATTGATATGAATACCGAAATCAATTCAAGACTGAGGTATGAAGGTGCAGCTGCCACTAGTATATCTCCGACCCACAGATTACCCTTGCATTTGCTGAGGCCTTAGGAAAGCTTAATAATTGCTTCACAAACTTAAGCTCTTCAACTGCCCCTAGTTTATATGTACTGGGTAAAATTACCATCTTTTCCAAGTTAACACAACTTTTAAGCAAAAATTCAGCTAGTCGAAGCAGACCTTGACAAGGCACCTTGTGGCCATGTATGGTGACAGATTTGAGTAGTGGAATCACACAAGGGGAGGAGAGCTCTTCGGAGAGTACGTGATGCTCATGTGTTTTACGGCTTTTACCCTGTACATTATTGGATTAAAAGACTATTACATGAAAGTCAGGCCAATAATAGATTTTGAATAAGCATCATACACAATATACACTAACCAAATCTTGACGCAAATTCTGCTGTGAATATGAGCATACTATGAGTTCTTCCAAGTGAGGTGAACTATTCAAGACTCTACAAATACCAATGAACTGATCTTCATTAAGCTGTGACTCGATATGTAAACGCTTCCACATAGTTTGTGGAATATTTAACTCCTTGAAGTTTGATTGCTGAATGAAAAATGAGAAGGAAGTCATCAATAATCTAATTTCTACTTTCTTCTATAACTTGTCCAATTATGATTGTATTATATTCAAGTAATAAACACCAATATGTGATCAATAATAAAGCACCACAATCATGATAATACCTAAAAAATAACTTGATTGGATCTCTCAACTCAAATCAGGACAACATGATTTATCAAAGTTTTGGTTTATTAATCATCGCAAGCTACCTAGTACATTACCTAGCCTGCAAACATTGCTCGGTAATTTGAATCCATATGAGATATACAACGATTAAACTGACTTAATACAAATGCTGTAATGGTCAATAATTAGCATATCTATAATTCACTAAGTGTAATATAGAAGATTGAACAGTATCAAAAATCATATCAATTGAAGTGTAAGGCTCTAGGGGAAACAGAGAAACTCACCTGAAAAGGCTCCATCCGAAAATTTAACAACCTCAACTGTACAAATCTTGCTCACAATTTCATCAATTTGGAAAGTAGATTGGATATGAACTTTGCAAACAGATGGAATATTAACCACTTGAAGAATTGACTCAGTGCTACTAATGAGATGAATATTTAGAATTTTCAGGTTGGGGCAATCAAGCACACATCGACTAAAGTATTCAAGATCTAACTTCTCAATGTTTGGAGCAGTAATTCGCAGCTCGTCCAATACATGTACATGCCTCATAACCAACTCTTGTAAAGAAGGGCATCCAGATATGATTTTCTCGAACATCTCATTACCCACCTTAACATAGGTAAGTGATAATTTCCTTAGCGATCCCATTTGGACTGTATTTAGGCACTCGATTTCACAGTGAGCAAGTTTCAGCATAACAAGAAACTGACTAGTAAAAATACATTGAGGCAAATCAGAATCATAAACTTCATTAGTATCACAAAGTTCATTAGTATCATCAATTTGAATTTCTAGTTCCTTGACTTGTCTATCTATTGCAAATCTTATCAATGAGTTTATGTATGTGATAAGTGATTTATCATCATCGTCATACATATATATGTCATTTAAATGAAGCACGAATTTATCAACCGAGATCCCTTTGTGAAGCATGAGTACATTGCGCACAAAACTAGTAAAGCAATGAATTTGTATATCAAAATCTATTATGCCATAAGGCCAATTACCTGCTTTGAAAAATTCATAGTCTTTAAAATCAAGCGAGGACATCATAGTCCAAAGATTACCAAATCTGCGAATTGACACGGTCCTAACAGCATCTAAAATTGGCAGAAATGAAAGAATGTGCACCAATATTTCATCAGGCATTTCACTTAACCTATATCTTGCATCATGCTTCTTTGAAGTAAATCCCATGTTTTTTGAGGTCATAATCTAGCAAAATAAATAAACAACAGTGAAAGGCTTAATTTAGGTTTTAGAGAGTATTATACATCAAACATAATACTTCGTTAAAATAACATAATTGATAAGCTTAAGACCCGTTCTTTTCACCTTAAAATAATACAACTATGTTTTATTCGATAAAAGTAATTAAAGTTCAACAAATACAACAAGTAAAAAGATATACTCATGTATAATTAGTTTATAGTATTAGGGTTTGGTTGGACCCTATGTAACCTATTATTAGGTAAAAGTAATTTAAGTTCAACAAAAATAAGTTTAGTTTAGTAAAAATCAGTAAACTTAAAGAAGAAATATAATAGAAAATCAGTAAAAAATAATAATTTCAGTTCAGCAAAAATAAAAAATAATTTAAGTTCAGTAAAAATAATTTCAATTCAGCAAAAATAAGGTGAAATGAACGGGGCCTTAGTATGTCATTTTTGTAAATAAATCAACATTTGTGAAATTCGTATTTAATATAAGTTATTGATTTATTTACCTAAATATCATTAGATAAATACGTACTTTTTTGTTTATTGTAGAGATAAACTTGTATTTTCTCCAAATTGAGTTGGATTACTTATAGAGTTTCACCTATAGCCTTTGCCTTGTTTATTTTTCATTAATACAATGGGGCATTTGATAGATGATATTAAATTGCGAACATGTTAATGAATTAATGGGTAAATCTATAAAGAAAGTCAATCTTTAACTATTTATAGATAATGGAGCTCAATCTTCAAACATTTTTTTTTTTTAAACTAATGTCACTTACCAGTTACCACTCATGACTTGAGTCTATATAATATGGCCATCAGCCACAACAATAATAAAATTTGAGAGTGAATCCATATGTATAATAAAAGTAATTTAAGTTCAACAAATACGACGAGTAAAATATTAGGAAAGATATTTCTATTTATGTATAATTATCTTATTGTATTAGAGTTTGGTTTGCCCAGACACGATGGCTTACGAACACGATGACCCCCAACAAGACCAAAGGGTATAATGGTCCACTTTACAAGACCAAAGGGTATAATTTTCAAGCGCAAATTAATTAAGTTCACTGAAAATAGTTATAATCAAATAAATACAATAATAACAAATCAGTAAAATAAGTTGAGTGAATATCAAGAGAAGAGAAAAGGACCTAATGAAAATTGTATTTAAATCAAACATAAAATTAGTAGCATAGTAGAATAGAATAACAAATTTGTAAAGCTTAATTTAGAGAGTTCTTATATAAAACATAAAATTAGATCAAAATTGACTTAAAAAAACTTATATTAATCTAAATTTATTGAAATAAGTTAAAATAAGTCGAATAAAACAAATCCTTAGTTTTACAATCGAATTAAATAGCATAATTAAGAACGGCAAAAAGAAAATATACCTGATTAAAAGAGAGGGGGTTTAAGGGGCAAGCTTATATACTTGAAATTCTTCAGAAAAACATAACATTTGGATTGGTGATTTACTGATTGTTGCATAAGCAAAGTGAAGACGATGATTTTATGATATGAGTTTATATAGATTGGCATAACAGGGATACAATGATAATTTCCCATGATTATTATTTGTTGAAGCGAAGTTATTAGTTTGTTACTTGTTTGGAATGGAGAGAGAAAGTTAGAAGGAAAATAAGAGAGAGAAAGAAGACGAAGAGAGAGAAAGTAAGCCAATTTGATCATGAACTAGGAGAAATGGATTGAGAAAGAAATGAGAGATACGTGATCTCATTGTATATATATTTTGTATTTAATTTATTTATTATTAAAGGGTTTATTCTGCTCACCTTATTTTCACTTATTTCAAGTATAATTAGTTCAGTTTAAGAAAAATAAGTTCTGATAAAGGTTAGTAAGTACAAATTAAAACTAAAATAAATTTTAATAAGGTCTAATAAGTTCAGGTAAGTTCAGATAAGTAAAGATATAATGAATAGAACACACCATAAATTACATATTAGTATTGTGCATTAGACTAGTTTGCGTCCCATTGGTTAGCTTTTTAGCTACTGTATAAGCTTGCTATTTAGATGAGCCTCACTTGCTAATTAAGGATGGCAATTCAGTTCGAATCCGACTCTACTCTGCCCCGATCCGAGGAAAAAAAATATGCTCCAAGTCCAACTCCGTTAAAATAATCTACTGTGAGTCGGAGGAGAGTCAGAGTCGGATTCTACAAAAAATCCGAGAAAAAAACCCGACCCCGATGGATCGTAGATTTTGGTGTGCATAGTGGTGGCAGTGAGTGTGGGTTGCAAAGGCCCAAATAGCCCAATTTCTCAAGTATATTGAAGGAAAAAAAAAACTCAGAGTTGGGTTGGATTGGAGTCGGAGTCGAAGGCCGAATATTGAATTCGGATCGGATTCAGAGTCTCGGAGTCGGATTCGGAGTCAAATTTAGCCTCCGACTTCTTGTTGGGTCGGAGTCGAATTTAGCATAATCCGCTCCGAGTCCAACTCATTGCCATCCTGCTTGCTATTTAGATGAGCCTCACATTTTAATTTTAATTTATAATATACCATTTTTTTTTTTTTTTTTTTTGGCAAGTTTTTCTCAAGTAAATTAGAAAATTAGCTTGTCCAGCCTAGCTTGCTTGACCAAACTAATTTCAGTTTTTAGCTTTAATGATCAAACTAGTAGTCGTGAATTTTTAAAAGTTGCAAGTAATTATAATCCCTATTTACAAGCATTAAAAGGTATTTTAGAACCGTCAATTTGCCTAATGGTATTCTTCAATTACCTAATGGTATCTTAAAATGAATTGAAATTAAATTCGTTTCCATCTTTGTACTTTTGTGAATCTCATTTTACTTTTTTTTTTTTTTTAAAAAAAAAAAAAAAAAAAAAAAAAAAAAAAAAATTATAAAGTGTTTTATTGAATAAAATTATGTGATACATCATGGCATCATGCATGTAATTAAGATCCTAGAATGTGATAATTAAAATTAAAATAAATAGAGGAAAAAATTGATGCCCCCTTTTAATGTAAATCTAATTACTTCATACTCAATAAAAGCTTGTTCAAAGTTGAAATACATAATCCCTCTGCCAAATATCTATTAGTGATAAACTGAAATGATTCTTTACATTCTTACACTACAAAGTTCATTGCAATCTGCATGTTGAACTGATATTTATCATCAACTAATTGACAATGTAAATTTGATGTAGTGTAAGATATCATTATAATATAGCTCATTGCCTTACAAACGTCCACCACTTGTACAACCCGAAGCTGTAAACTACAACGTATATTACTGTTCTGACCGGATAGAAGCGAAACCTGCATGTATGTACCACAATGTCATGAGTATTACTTAGGCGAAACAGAGAAACCTTAAAAAATGTGTAATATATATGCACAAATTAAAGGTTATAATAAGACAATAATAAGACTTTATTTCTGATATGTAAACTAGTGTTTAGACCAGCTTAAACACATTTTGGTGATTCACCTCATTGAATGTATCAGCTAGGTATATACAGTGTGTAATACAATTTTACTCAGAATTCAGATGTCTCAAAAAGATTTCAGTAGCTAGATAAGCAAACTCATCACCATTAGCTATCCAATTCGCTTTGAGCCACGTATAGTTTGGACTTAGAAGTTGCATCCCCTCCCATATCAAAATGGATTCAGAGTTGGAATTGAGACGATAAGACATTGTTGTGTATCCAACAGTCAAACACACACTCACTAGGTTCTCTGTCTAGAAAACTCAATATCATCAGAATTCTGATTACGGAATGATGATTATATATTAAGATGCCTGTGCTAATGTGCTATTCAAGGCTATCCCAAAAGAACCAAAATTTTGTAGGTATTCATTCCCTTTACAATTGAAAATGGTACACTCCACACTCTATTTCAATTCAATGGGAGTAGAAACACACCTCGATTGCTTAGTCAGGCCGGTTAAAAACCAAGTCATGGGTATGCAAGTTAAGATAAATGAAGGAATGATTATCAAACAACGTATACGTGAACATTACTCTAGAGTGAGTTCTTATGTTGATGAGATAAATTAAATTTAGTATCTCAGCATCAAATTCAAGATTTCAAGGTATACTTGTTTAGCAAAATTTCGGCCAGGACACATGGTAAGAAAACATGCTATATAAACACATTAGCCACACAACATACCCACCTCATACTTCTAAGGAGTTGAATTTTTTCGTGATAAGACGTTCAATGCACCAGTAAGACATGAAGAGCTCATGAACTCGAACTAGTAGTAGTAGTGATGATAGTAGTAGTAGTAATAAAAATGATCTTTAAGGAAGAAATGTGCCTAGTCAAAAAGAGGATTTAAGCAACAAACCCCAAGAGTTTGTAACAATTGTAAAGCAAGTTTAAACAATCTTATTTAGGTACACAAAGTCCTTTAGGCCACCTTTTCTCAGAGCCCAAACCAAAGGCCTAATTCTAAAATCAATTTTTGTCTCCACTACCCCTTCCCTCCCATTGTTAACACTAGGATTCGAACCCAAGTCGAAGCCTTTGATTTCGGTGTGTGCTACCGTTATAGCTACACCTCCTTCTCAATTGAAACAAACGTTGATATCTTTGCAAATTTGTCAAATAAATTCAATTGCGCTACGAAATTCTGATAATTTGCTTTTCATATATATGTTATCTACTTTTTAATTCTGTAAATCGAATTACATGGGCTCGAGTAATCTACTAAAACAACCAAAAACTACTACAAGTATTAAAAAAAAAAATGCCATTGATCGAATTTATCGTCACATTGATATGAAGTGCTCAAGTGAATCAACAAAACAAAAGTTTACAATTACATGAAAAAATCAAACCATAATCTAAACTAAAATTACGCTCCCATTTGAAATTAATTGTCACATTGATACTTTTGATAGTATTAAAAAAAATTAAGGCGAATATACCAATATTTGATCACACAAGATATGGTGGTTAAAAAAATTTCATTCTCAACCACTAGTCCGTCTAGAAAAGTTGGTGAATGCTATAATTTGAAATTAAACCAGTAATGCGACAACTCATTCCGAATACAATAAAATTAAAACCGAATTAGAAAAAACATACGGTAAATGTATACTAACCTTGAGGATCCAGGCCTAAGAACATCAGAGCGGTTAATATCATCAACACAAACAGGTTGAGTCCACTTAGAGATCTCTCTATCAAAGAACTCCCAATCAGGCAAGAGTATACCAGCAATACCACCAAGTCCCATGAAATACGTTACCATCATTTTCTTAAATGAATGTGTGTAAAATCCCACTACCATAACCACCACCGCTAACCACATCAAACACCGCCGTAACGCCGCATCATCCGCCATTACTAGTCCACCGGCCACCACCTAATTTACGAGAGCGAAATACTTTTTATACTTCGTATATTTCTTTTAGATAGAACAGTACACAAGAAGTTTTAATTAACGAGAGCGAAAGTAAGACAATTGTTACTTGTTAAATATTTGTGAGTAGTAACACTAGTAAGGCATGAAGAGGGCATGAGGTTGAAGTTGTAGTAGTAGAAGTAGACTAGTACTAATCCCTCCGTCCCTTATCTATATGTCCATTTTCTATTTTTTATGGGAATTAATAAACTTAAAAGATTCCTTAAAATACATTATTGGGTAGTACAAATGTGTATGTAGGGTTAGAGAAAGAAAATGTAGTTGATAATTATTAAAGAGATAGAGAGAGAAAGCGTTGGAAAATAATGTAAAAATTAAAAAAAAAAAAAAAAAAAAACAAAATTGATGACAACTTATCAAAAAGGAAATATTGTCAAAAAGTACATTCTTTAAAAAAAATAGACATGTAGTTTTAAATTCCTCTAAAAGGAAAGTAGGCATGTAGATAAGGGATGGAGGGAGTTATGTACTAGTAATGTCATTTGTATTGGTAATTGTAGTAGCTTGATTTATCTTTTATCTTTATTTTTATTTTTTTTGAGGTGAGTTTATTTTCTTGTGTTGTTGCACAACTTTAATGAAAATCTTTCAATTCTCAACTGTCTCCCAACTCGTTAATTTAATGCAATGGTGTGGTGTAGAGGTTAATTAGAATAGTGGGTGGTACGGGTCATGGAACCATAATAAAGGATGAGAAACTTTATGTTTTTCCTTATATTGGCATTTGGCAATAAGAGTGTTTCAGTATGAGAATTTATTTGCAGTATGTACGTGATGTGTACGTTAAATTTAATATGCATAACCTTAACTTTATAACAAGATATGCAGCCTATTAGAATTTGGAAGTCATGATGTGTTGTTGCTATCAGATGGAGTATGGAGTATGGACTATGGACCCATAACTTCATCTTATCCCACCGAGGGTCCATTTACAAGAATATATGCAAGATAACAAGTTTACGCCACTAGCTAGATAGCACAATTAAATTAATCGGCTACAACAACAATAACAAAACTTCATGAATCATCATAAGGAACCGTACAATATAAAGAAATGAACGTAATAAGATAATCAGTTGAAAGAGTTTGAAAAAAGGTGAGTAAAGTGAGAAAAAAAATAGTATCCAAGAAAAAATAAGAGAGATTTTAAAGAGAACCGGGAATAAAATTCAAGAAAGTTTTGAAGCAGCGATGATTACAATTTATCAAACACAAATGGGTTAAAATAAGAAGAATGAATACAAAAATAAATTAAATCCATCAGCTAACCTAGAAAAATCCTAGTCGTCCCTTTCTCCTTTCTCCTCTTTGGTTAATAAAAGTAAATAAAAGCTAAGATTGTTGGCATAAAGCTAATTATAAGGTAAGCCACTGTGCTTCAAATGTCAAAATTTTGAGCATTTGGCAAATAATTATAGATTCTAAAATGATAAGCATGAGCTTATAACAAAAGTACTAGTTGTGGAAGAAAATTTATTTTAGATTGGTGGTGAGAAGTGCTTTAAAATCCAAAGATTAAAGGTTGGTGAGAGACGTGCATTAAAAAATGAAAATTGAAGGTGATGAAACGTGCAACACAAAATTGAAGAGACGTGCTTCAATATCATCAAAATTTGGAGAAGGGGATATGATGAAGTTATGCTTCAAACTAGTTATGTTTAGTGGTAGTTAATTTTCTTATTTCTAGAATTCTAGTTATTAGTCGAGTTTATTTTTATTAAGTCATTAAGCATGTGATACTGTATTAATGAGAGGTGGACTAAAGTAGTGTGGACATTAAGTTAGCCAGCCACTAACTCCACTGATTACAGACATGTATTACTTTAAAATTTATATCAAATAGGGTTGAGCAAAACTATATATTTGAAGATTTGAATATCTGAATATTTAATCTGCATATGATTTGATAATTTAAATTATATACCTCCGATTTGAAATTTTCGGACATCAAATATCAATTTTCGGATTTGATACTCGAAAAATTCTTAAAATTGGGTTTTTGATAACTGATATTCGATCCAAATATCCAAAAATCTAGGTTACATTTTCATTATTAAAAAAAAAAAAAAAACAAAACAAACAAATATTAAATTTTTTAAACTAATTATATAGTATTCAAATATACGATCATAATTTTTTCAAATTGATTCGGAGATTGAATTTTATAATTCTAGGATACCGAATGTATGATTGTCTAATCCATGGTCACCTAATACCAACCCACTACCCGTCAAATTCTTACTATACTTGCACCAATTGGGACACATATGATATGATGTGCATTTTTGAAACCATACTCACTTTTAAAGTTGTAATCCCCAGCCGCGGTTTAAAGATAGGCTGGAATAACACGCGTAAAGCCATAATCAGAACACAAGTTTTTAAAGCTGATTTAGCCAGAATCCAAACCATGATCATCCCAACACGATCCAATGCCAAGCCTACTCCCATCCCAAAGACCAAGTCAACACTATGCAAGTGTATCAACCCAATAACAAAAATTTCTCCGTATTAGATTTATTTCTCCAAATTAACCAATTAAGTGTGGGTGTGGCACTACCAAATAACGAACCAGAACAAACAACACTCCAGCCGCCGGCGTTGCTCGAGAGAGGAGAGAGAAAATTTGACGATGAGGCTGTTAACACACAACATGCTATCTTCCAACATCAAAGGTGTTATCAATGGCTATCCTCTAACAATTGAAGCGGCGAAAGTGGTGGAGAAGTAGGTCGATATGAATGTCGATTTTCTCAAGAACATCTTCAGCAAAATCGAATGGAAGCCATTTGTTGATGCTGCTAAAACCTTGGGCTTTTCCGAGTTACCTGAAGATGTTGATCAGTCTTTGCTTGATTCTCAAGAATTTCTTGCCAAGTTTCATCATGCTCTCCTTGAGATTCATCTTGAAGAAGGTGCTCTTGTTTGCCCTGAAACTGGGCGTAAATTCCCTGTTAATAAGGGTATTCCGAATATGCTTCTTCATGAAGATGAAGTTTGATTTTGATTCTTTTTATTACTTGAAACAATGGCGATTGTAATTGTTTTTTATTTTCTTTCTTTTGATATGTGTGGAATGGATGCATGTTAAGTGTTCGATGAAATGTCTCAATGAAGAAAAACGTGTTATTTTGATGTTATGATGCAAGTTGAGTATTGACATTGCAGTGTGCGTTTGGTTTTCGTGAATTACTCGAATGAAATTTACGAAACAGTTAGTTAGTTAGAGCTAAATCAATTGATTACCATACATTACATAACAACGTGAATGAAACTACTGCAAAAATGAAAGTTTAAATAAATTACCATACATTGAATGAGGGTTACAACTTACAAAAACACTATAGACACTATAGAGTATAGACCTATCGTTAATAATGTGACTAGTAACTAATTGTTGTACATATGGCTCCCTAGTGAAACATGGGTTAAGATAAACTTGCTGGGGAGATAAAAAATTGATGACCCTTGATGCTTCAAGTTCATTCTTCGCTCTTCAGTTTGTTTCTATAGCGAGGAGTGTAGCAGGGTGGTGGCGGCACACCAAATACCCAATCGAGAACATTTAGGTACTTGGATCTGAAGACCTCTCGCTCTTGTGAATAGCAATGCATAATAATGGCTGTTGAAAAGCTAAATACAACCACATCAGCTCTCTTGATGTTTACTAGTGATTGAGGAAGATATCCAATATCAGCCATACATGTGAAGAAGCTCTCAATTGCACGAGCTAGGCAATATAGGGATATTTCGATTCGTCTGCTTTTCTTTTCAATGGCTAGTGCAAGGCCAGCTGGGGACTGTTTAAGAGCCAGATATACCATTAGAAATAATATATCAAAACCTGATTTGTTTTTTCTTTCTTTGGATGGAGGAAAGGAGGGAAAGTGTCAATAGAAAAGGAAAGACTAAGAAGAAAAATTACCGTCCCCATTGCCACCATTGGAATGTTGCATTTCTTGAAAATCCTAAAAAGAATGCATGTCCACATCCTGAAACAATGGTAAGTCGTACCGTAACTTCAGTTGTATAAATGCAAGATTCACTACAATTCCACCAAGGATCCTGTTTAAAAGTAATAGAACTACGAAGTATGAAAGGTTCTAAAAACAAACTCAGTGGGCTTAGTTCTAGTTTAACCCATTTAATGCATACTAAAGGCTTCAGAATGTATCATGCGCAGTCCATAGTTTAGGATAAAGAGAGTACCTCCATCACAGAAGATTTTAAGTTATACAGCAAACAATTTTAAAAACAGAATACAGAAGCAACCTCCAACCGCCAAAGTTTTTAGTTTTTTTTTTTTTTTTTTTTTTTTTTTTTGGGACAGAACAGCCAAAGTTTTCAGACACGTTCAATTCAAACATTAGCCTCTGAGTCTCACAGTTTATCCCTCAGTATGTTCTAAGATAGTTTTCTGCCAGTAGTACAAGTGAGCATGTAGCAATAACAGCACTTTCCAGTTGCTAACCCAAGACATATAAATACATGTTGAGCCAATTACCGTTGAATGTAATGGACAAAAGAATACCTACCAGGCAGAAGCACAATATGAAGACAAGAACAAGCTTGACCGTGCAATACCAATAACACTCTTCCCCAATATTGGGTACGGTCTGCACAACAAAAGGCAAAAACATTGTTAGAAAAACATAGTGATTAGCAAGGATTACAAGGATTTAAACCCCATAGCTTAATTTTTTAGAATACAAGGTGCACCATGAGGCAGAAATATATCCCGTCAAGAAGTCTTTTCACTCAAGGCACAACATTTTGAGAAATCCTTATAGATCATTTCAATACATAAGCTATACTAAGAAGCACACATGTTATACTCCTATTGGGTTGGGCTCAACTAAGAAACACACGTGTTATATCCTATTGCATTGACAAATTAAATTTTGTCCTGCTATAATACATGTGTTACTCACAAAGAGTCTTAATCAAACAAAGATAAGAACTGAAGGATGGATTTGGTCACATCATAATGCAATGTCTTATACACAGGTGTGGCCCTCACCCTATAAAGTGCAAAAGATGGTGCCTCACAAGGCACAGTTATAATAATAAGCCTCACAAAGCGTGGGAAACAAGGTGGGTAGTGAGATACAGTCATACAGAGACATCAGCCAGGTACTACTTAGGTCATTCAGCACTCCCTAAATAGGGTTTTTTTCACCTTTCCCTCACGGTACTTGAGGTGTTGACTGTTGGGGACAGCATCTATTGATGAAGAAACAGATGATTTGGGGACACATTCAAAAATCCTATCAGCATTCTATAGTATTATAATTAAAGCAAAAGGTTGTAACAAAGGTACAAGGCATATAATTTGAACGAGATAATACAACAACCACCTCTGCTAGGGGCCATTGGCATAATGACAGACTGGCTTGTAAAAATCTTACCTTTTCAATAGGTCTTTACGGTGAACTATTAGTGCAGGAACCAAATATACTGGAAGATACACTGGAAGTGCTCTTTTATACGCTTGAATAAGAAACGTGAAGACATGAGCTGCACATGATTGATTCCCATGAACAATCTGCATTATCCATTGAGATCAACTATTAGATGCTGCTAGCATGATTATATGTTGTCCCTTTACTCCACCAAAGCGCATTGTGTAAGATCCCTAACACATATGGCCATAAAGAGACATCACAGACAAGCATGATTATATAGAGGACACTTTATTCTCAAATTGTGATCACTAAAATCTATAACAAGCTAAAATTTTCAGCAAAATAGTATTTACTTGTGGAGGCAAATGTACCCTTCAAACCAACAGAAAATTTTCTCAACTATCTAAGGAAATAAATGTGATAACAGTGGTAGAGAAATATTCATACCGAGCAGGGAACTTTCATTTCTGGATCTAATTTGATGTCTATACCCGTTGATTTATAATAATTCTCTATTGCCCCCAGATTAGAAAAAGGCATGCCACATGCGATCTCTTTCACACCCTGCAGGATAGACAAATCCTTTGCTCCATGTTTATTGAGGAACAACTTGTATGATGAAGGCAGAGATTCTTGCTTCAATATGTAAGCAGACCTGAAAAGGCAGGTCCCAATTTAATTACATAGCTTATGTAATTGGAAAAAGTTGTATATTTATATGCCTATATCAGCAAAAGCAGGACTGCTGTAAAAGCTAACTTTCTTATATACCAAATTACCAATTACTGCTAACGGACAGATATATACTTTAACTAATGTGACTCTGCATACAAGCAAAGCTGACCTTGTAACACTATAGCACAGGATATTAATTTTAGATGCAATGCAGAAGAACCTGGTGCCAAAATTGGGATGCATGAACTACCATCCACTAGCCTATGTCATTCACTAACTCAGCTACCACTATAGCTGGAAGAACAAGTACATCATAAGTTAATGCCCTTTTTACAAAATGTACTAATTTGAGATGCCTGTGCAAATTGTGTGCAAAAAATTCATTAAAAAGTTTAGTAGTATGCTCACAAAATTTGGGAGGATGAAAGACACATGAGGAAGATGTCCCCATGAGTCCAAGTCAACGGTTTGCAGATGCGACCAAATCGTTTGCTCTTAATTCCACAGCGAGATGCTAAAACAGCTGCTCGCATGAGGATATAAATAGCCAAGCTATTATGTTGTGTATTTAACCCAGTTAATAGCATAGAAGGCCCAGCAATACCACCTGCCAGTAACGCCCTCCATTTTGCAGTCCTGAATCACACATGGAGCTGACTTAAAAAATCAATACAACTAGACAAGTACAGGCATTGGAGGAGTTTAACCAAGGGGATGAAAAGTCAGAACTATAACTCCAATGTGTTTCAAATTTCAATAAGTATAGCAAATACAAATTAGTAACAACCCTCTGTATCTTCACAAGTAACTTGAGAATTCACTGCATTTTGATATGATATAATATAATAATATAATAGACTACAAGTATAATCACTAAACTGGAAATGCAATCAAACTGTGCATTTTTTATGAAGGATCTAATAAAGCCAATCACTTCGTAGTGGCAAGGACCCACACGAATAGGTTTGTATTGAAGGCTTAACAAGATTTTTATTTCTTGTTCATTAGACACACAAAGCCAATACAACTGATATAGCCCCTTTGACTCCAAATGGAAACATGATCGGAATGTATCTGAAAAAAATTGTCACTTTACTTGAAATAGTAATAGTTAATGATTAGAATTCCCCAGCAACCCACATTAAATGAAGGTATGAGAATCACATGGAAATGACCTAACTATTATAAACCATATTTCGGTAAATCAAGCCATACCCTTACTATAAGATTGCGACAACGTGACAACTAATTCCGGACTGAGAAACCACGCACAACACATGAATGTGAGCTCTAATTTGCTCAAACATGTCTTATCCAATCAACAAAGTTTCAATTTCATGGTAATTCTATATAAATTAAACAAAATCACAGCACTAAACTATGACACTTTAATCAAGCTATAATTAAGTTAAATTATACAAATCCAATGATGAAAATTAAGTTAAGAAACAACTAACCTACGATGTCCACCCAAAGTAGCAACAATTTCATCAACTGAAGAAAAAGTACCAGCAAAAACACCAAGAAACAACCCATATCTCAAAGTTTCCTTAATCACCGATAAAATCTCCTCACTACTCGAAACATCACTTACTTTCCTGAAACATGCAACCAATCAAACCCTTACAAAAATCCAGCTCAAAATTACTAAAAGTAGTAAGTAACAAAAACGAATCAATCAAACTAACTTGAGAGAATTGGGGGATCTCCGGCGACTCAAACGAGCGAGGAGAGAGAAAATTGAGACACCGCCTTTCAATCCAGCACCAATAGAGAAACCTTTAACGGCGGCGGAGATAATCCGGTGAAGTTTATCGGAATTCGTCTCGGAAGATGACGGAGATGGATCGGAATCCTGGCAATGCGAGCAATTATGGTGGTCGGAAATTAGGTCATCGACGTCGGAGAGAGAATCTCCAGCGGAGAAGCAGGTGGCGCCGTCGTCGTGCGGCGGCATGATCGGCGGCGATGAAAAAAAGAGTGAGTGAGGGAGGGAGGAGAGAGAGTGAAAATAACAGGTGCCGAAATTAATATGAGAGTCTGAGAGGTACGTCAATGGTAGTTACGAGGTTAAGGAGATAAATTCATTAATGAGAATGTGTATAGGAAAGAATTGAAATTTCAAAGTTTAATTCTATAGATTGGTAACGTGTTGAGGGTTCTAAACAACAACAACTATGGTTTCGTGTTAAGTTTTTGTATTAAATTTTGGGGGTTGGAAAACATTTTTAGGTGCTGATAATTACGAGGATTCGAGATATTTAAAGCAAGGCTGGCTAATGTTCATTTTGGGTGGGTATCAAGAGTGGGAAAAAATAAAATACTGTTTTAAATTAGAAAAAATTAGACTTTATGAGAAAGCGAATGTGTGCCCAAGTTGAGTTTACGACATTAGTTGTCAATGTGTAATTGGAGAAATTGGCGAAAAAGAAGACTAGAAGTGGTTTTATCTTTTACTTCCTCCGTTCCAATATAATTGCAATTTGCAACAATTGAACTTTTGCACAATTCATTCATCACTTTTGTTTTACCATATAATATGATTTATACGTTAAGCAAAATATAATCATGTGAGATTTTGTAACACCCTAGAAATTCCTTTCCTTTGAAATACTTGTTTTGCCCTTTTTGAAATATGAAATAAGAAAATCTAAGACATTACCGCCACCGTGAAAACGGCTAAGGAAATTATCAAAGACACACAACGGAAGACTATCTTTTAAAAACTCAAATGAAATAAAGTTTAATAAAATCAACTCAAACTTTTAAAACCAACTTACACTAAAACAATAACTTGGAACCATTAAAATCCCTTTAAAACCAAAGTAAATATAAACATTAACTAATGTTAATGAACAATTACATAAATAATTCAATACAATAAATAACAAATAAAGAAACATGTAACCCTCTTCGCTCAAACCCATCATGCTTGATGTGCTTCATCACCTAAAAGCTTCTCACTACTTGTCCCCACTACTCGCCATTAGAAATGAGTCGTCGTAGGGCCAAGGTAAAGACAAGGTCAAATAAACATGCAAACACACAATCAGCAATGCTGAGTACATAAACGTAATAAAACACACTAACATGCTTTCATCCTATCAACACACAGCTTACCGTGTAGCACCTGTTTACAAGCATACAAAACATTCAACACCTAACTAGATCAATATCAATGTTCTTTTAATTTTGATTACACATCGAACGAGTTTCCAACCAAATCCCTACCTCAAATAAATTGAGGTAAACTACACCGGGAGCTAATCGGGTAGGCAAATGTCACATGAAGTGACTGGATAATAAATAATAAAAAGGAAAATACAGCGTCCTGTACTCCCAGTAGAAGTTATGGTCAAATATAAAGTCGCATAATTCCCCCCATATGTTCATTCTCAAAGTATATATGTTCCAAGAGTTTTGGTGTGTAATCTCTTTCACTTTACGTTATTTACATATTATTAGACTCGGTGATGACTCTCAAGCCATAACACAATCAAACATTATCACTCATTCAAGCAATCAAACATACCAATTTAATTCTTGAATAATTAGTGACCACATAAATTTAATAGTTGAACCCTTTTTAATCTACCTCAGTGTCGAAGACACCATAAATGCATAATGCGCCGCAAATCCTATCCCTCGGTGTTAGAAACACCTTAAGTGCATATAAGCACCGCAACATAATTTATTCTTGTATACTAAGACACTTAAATAACTCTTTCCTCGTGCTTATAGCATCAATAAAAATTATGTGAACCATAATAAAATTCTCTTTTCATATTCCAAACCAAATTAAATATTTAGTTTAATTAAACATGCTCTCTAACATGCCAATAATAAAAGTGTGGTTCATAACCAACATGTCAATATAATTAATTCCAATCACCAATTCACCATAAATAATTCATACATCACAAATCATTCACCAACATCAATCCAATCACAAATTCCAATCAACACCTATCATGATACTACTTGGAATTAATTATTCAAAGCCTATCATGTCTCTACATATTCAAATAGTTACTAAGTACGCGAACGTACCTTAAATCATCTTTCCAACTAGCCACAATGCTAGAAATTACTCAACCTAAAGTCTCCTACAATACCAAAATTATAAAGAAGTATTAATACCTCTTTCACGCAAATTTCCAGAAATATATACTCTCTTCAAATCACTCATAAACCCTCTAAAATAATCTGAAATTTTATTTAAAACCCTTACTTTTATTCCCAATTAATGGGTAATTAAAAATCCTTTCAAGAACCCTAATTATAACCTTTATATAAAAATTTCAGCTTTATTAAACCATCAAAAATCGCTGTAATTATGTTTAAAAACATTAATTTCAATAGTTTAAATTACCCACAATCCAATTCCATCAATATTCATTAATTTAGAAACCTAGGGTTTTCACTTTGGGGCTTTTTGATTAAAAACTAAATCTGAAAATTATATTAGAACATTAAACCTTCGTTAATAATCAAAAATTGCTCGAAAACCATATTTAGAGGCTGAATTTGGCCACGAGAAGGTAGTACAAAGGTGGTGAGTTTTGATTAAAACGTTGTTTACACATGAAAAACACTAATTTTTTTGTAAAAATCGGATGAGTTAGAATCTAAACATGATTAAAAATAAAAGGGAAGGGGAAAAATTGAGGAGAAAAGAAAATAAGAGAAGAGAGAAAATTTACCTTTGGGTGCACTCTACCTTAGACTAGGATTTTGATTTACTCATAACCTCCTACTTACTACCCTTAATAATCTCTTTCCTACTCAAACTAGGATTTTGATTTTCTTTAAAACTTTTACTTTTAAAAATTATTTTTTTATAAAATAATATGCCCCAATATTTTTAAATCATAAAATAAAATATTTTCAAGATTATTAAATAATTAAAAATACACTTTTAATAAAAATCATACTTTTTAAATTAATAAAAACCCTAAATAATTTATTTCGGATTATTTAAATATTTTAAGAAATAGTTATTTAAATTAAAATACGTATAAAAATATGGGGTATTACAGATTTTATTAGATTCGTTTCATAAAATACTTTCATAATATCAACTTTTTATGATTTTTACTCTTGTACAATTATAGATATTTAATATATAAAATATGTTTGGGATGCGTAATTTTATCCTTGTTGCAATATTATTGAAACGGAGAAAGTATATTTTTGTGTTTGTTGACAGTGTTAACACTAACGTGCGGAAGGAAATTTACAGAAAATGTATCCTCTGGTATGTTTGTGGCAACGATTAGGAGTTCTGATTTCATGGTACTGTAGTTCATAAATGGGTGTGACCGTGTGAGAGTTAGACATAGATGACGGGAAAAAGAGATATTGACAAAACAATTTAATGAACACAACTAAAATGTTTAATCACTGGTTATACTATTTATAAGAAAATGTATGTTTATACCAGTAATGGTTATAATCATTTCATTCATTTAGTAGACAGCTTACCAAACCTTTTTTTTTTTTTTCGCTTCCATAAACTTTCTAAAATAGCACATAATCTTCTCAATTATGAACTGGTAAAACGTTTATAACCTTTTTCAACATAATTCTTTACTTTGTCCCTTGTCAATTTAAATATTGAAAATATTTTCATTGCTCCTTACTAATTTGATAACACTAAATAACATTTTGAATGTATGTATATCAATAATTACTGTTTGGGTCCAATTTAGTCAAAATTGGGCCTAAGCACTAAATGATCCAATTAAAAGCCCAAGGTCAAGGTTCAACTCTCCAATTGCACAAAAGTCAAAGGTCAGCCCACAAAGCATGCCAATTGGGCTAAGGCCCAACCTCACCATATATGATGAGGTATAAAAGCCATCATATTGACACATTCATGGATTCACGTTCATATTCATATTCCAATTCATATGCTCATTCTTGCATTCAGAAATATTCCACAAAAGCCTCAAGCTACAAACTCTCTTGCATAGTGTCTTCCTTTTACACATTGTACTGACTTTAGCATCGGAGGGGCCTTCCTCGGAAGCACCCCCGAGGCTAGTTTACGTGTGTTCACTGTGCAGGAAACCTTCGGCCCAACACAACTTGGACCGAATCCAGTCTTCTCCATTTCAGCGGACCTTCGGCAAGGTCCCATTGTTTTCACCCGAAACAATTTGGCGCCGTCTGTGGGGAAGACTTTCAAAACTCTTTAAGCCAAATTCCTAACCAAGATCATCTTGCAATTATCTTAGCAGCCATGGCTAAGAACCGCAAGAGCAAAAGCCTCCGTCAAGGAGCGGGCGAAAAGCCTAAAACCCCTACACCATCGCCCTCGCCGGACCGGAACTCTCCCAAGGGTGCCGGCTCGGGGGAGGATCATACAAGGAGGATTCCCTATCTCCTGTAATGCATGACTCTCAATATAGGCCGGACCACTCTCGGTCTAGCAGGGGTCAGTCTGATCATAGGACATATTCAGTGTCCCAAAGCCAACCATCGGCTGCGCGGCCTCATTCCCACACTCGGCCGAGGACCCCTTTGACGGGGCCCAGCTCGGAAGAGGTGGCAAGAGCGCTGACAGTACTCATGGAGGCAATGAGGGCACAGAATATGCCACCGCCTCGTGATCGAACTCCTCCGCATACCCGGCATCAGCGGAGGAAGTTAGACCATGACGGTGGGAAGCTTCCTTCCTTCCGGGAATTGGAAGAGTGGGAGGAGGATTCTTGGAAAAATGAAAAACAGAGGAAAAAGAACTCTCAATTATTTAAAGGATCCTCATCCTCAAGACCAGAAGCGCATAAGAGCAGCAGCTCAGCTTCTCGGCCAGAATCTACTCGCCGAGAACCTGAGACTGTTCGCAGAAGCGTCCTTGACCGACTCGGCGGCCAGGAACCGAGCGTGCGTAGTCGCCTCTCGTTCCCTGCAGCCGAGGCCCAGACTTCCCAGCCAGGGACGAAAACCACTCCTACCTCTCTAAGAGGGCGGAGCGCGGTCCCTTCGGCCAGGAACAAGGGCAAGGCCGTTATGCTACCCGCTAGTTCACCATTCGAGCAATGGATACTGGAAGAGCGCGTACCCACGGTTAAAATACCGTCGCATATCACATATGACGGGACCACGGATCCGAAGGACCACGTGGCCTCGTATGAGACTCATATGCATCTTTGCCCCAGATCCGAGGCGACTTGGTGCAAATATTTCCCAACCACTCTCAAGGGGGTCGCGCAAGCGTGGATCTCCAAGGGAGTAAGGCAAGGCTCCATAACAGGTTGGGATGATCTGTCCTCCAAGTTCAGGAGCAAGTTTTCCACGGCAAACCGCCAAGAGAAGACTACCGCAGAGCTCATGAGTCTGCAACAGGGGGAAACCGAAAGCCTCCGAGACTACCTGACCCGTTTCAGTAACGAGTCATCAAGCGTCTCCCAGCTGGACCAGGGGTTAGCTGTTTTTGCAATGCAGAATGGCCTTCAGCCAGGAAAGTTCCTAGACTTCATGGTCATGCATACCCCGCAGACCTTGGAGGAA